GGGCGTTCGCTGCCCGCGGGCGCCGCTTGGAGGGGGCGGCCGCGGCCCCGGTTTAACTGTACAAAAGGAAAGAGCAGAGCTAAAAAAAGTCACAAAAGCCAGAGGCAAATAATTAAATGGATGAGTTTGGCTTGGAGGGGGCGGCCGCGGCCCCGGTTTAACTGTACAAAAGGAAAGAGCAGAGCTAAAAAAAGTCACAAAAGCCAGAGGCAAATAATTAAATGGATGAGTTTGGACCCGAGCTGTGTGCGTGGGTGCCTGGGGCTCAGCCGCGCACCGAGCAGGTCGGGGCTCAGCTGTGCACTGAGCGGGTTGGGTGTCATCCATGCACTGAGTGGGTCAGGTCTCAACCATGCACTGAGTGGGTCCGGTCTCAGCCATGCACTGAGTGGGTTGAGTCTTGGCTGTGCACCGAGCAGGTCGGGTCTGAGCCATCCATTGAGCAGGTCAGAGCTCAGCTGTGCACTGAGCGAGTCGGGTCTCAACCATGCACTGAGTGGGTCAGGACTCAGCCATGCACTGAGCGGGTTGGGTGTCATCCATGCACTGAGCAGGTCCAGTCTCAGCCATGCACTGAGCGGGTTGGGTCTTGGCTGTGCACCGAGCAGGTCGGGTCTCAGCCATGCACTGAGTGGTTGGATCTCGGCCATGCACTGAGCGGGTTGGGTCCCAACCATGTGCGCTGAGCAGGTCAGGTCTTGGCTGTGCGCTGAGTGGGTTGGGTGTCATCTATGCACTGAGTGGGTCAGGTCTCAACCATGCACTGAGTAGGTTGGGTCTCAGCCATGTACTGAGCGGGTTGGGTCTTGGCTGTGCACTGAGCAGGTCGGGTCTCAACTGTGCACTGAGCTGGTCAGGTCTCAACCATGCACTGAGTGGGTCAGGACTCAACCATGAACTGAGCAGGTCTGGTCTCAGCCATGCACCGAGGGGGTTGGGTCTCGGCCATGCACTGAGCAGGTCAGGTCTCGGCCATGCACTGAGCTGGTCGGGTCTCAACCATGCACTGAGCAGGTTGAGTCTCAACCATGCACTGAGCGGGTCAGGTCTCAACCATGCGCTGAGCAGGTTGAGTCTCAACCATGCACTGAGTGGGTCGGGTCTCAACCATGCGCTGAGTGGGTCAGGTCTCGGCCATGCACTGAGCAGGTCGGATCTCGACCGCGCGCCCTGGGAGCAGCCCCGGCGGTTCCCCATCGGCGCTTCTGGCATGAGCTGAGCGGCTCCATTCCCGGGAAGCTGCACGGATGAGCCGGAGCTCCCGCGGCCGGCGGGAAGGGAGGCCGGGAGGAGGCCGGAGCAGGGGGAGGGGA